TAATTTGAGTTAAAATGGGGTTTTTAGAACGCTTATCTTACTAGGAGATTCAGGGAATGGAATTGAGGTAGCTCGTACGATTTTCACTTTCTCATCCAACAACTTATGACTAGAGAGTGAAAAAGAGAAAGTGACTTATATTTCAGCTTCGGTGAACCAACAGAGCCAAATTATGCGCCTGCTTAATGCTATTGGCTGAATATCATTCTAACACTTATACACATGTGTGAAAAAATTCATGAGACTTAGAATGGAAATCTTTATGATCTTCACTTTAGGATCAATATTAGGTGGCCCCCTCACTTCTACATAATATAACATTATCTTCACTGCTTATTGGGTCACAGTCACAGAGTTAAGGGAAATGAGAGTTTAATTAAACTTTTGTTTTATCTTTTCTCTAAAATCAGTTCATTGTTTTCAGAATATTATAGAATATTATATTGGATATAAAAGTCTCACATCGCTTTTCCTCCTACTCAAACCTTTTGATTTTATTTACTTATATATATAATAATAAACACTTTCCCTCACTACTTACCTAACTTGAACGTAGATTTAAGGCCTAGCTGTGCATTTATTCTTGAATTTCCTATGCACACGACTACAATGAAAATTTTCCACAGATGAAATAGCAGCAATTCTTATTTTGCCAGAACAGGAGTTTCGCGTTGTGAAAACCGCAATGTTAGTGTTGTTAATAATAAGCGAAATCTTCAAAACTGAGTAATTTATTCATCTGCGTTTTATTAGCCCACTCGAAACAGAATTTTGCATTGAATCAGCTATAAATGGCTGAATCACTTTTCAGATTGTTGCCACTAAATATTATCGCCCCGTTTTATATATTAAGAAATTAAATAATGAAGAATCTACATGAATGTATGTAGGTTTCTCGAATTTAGAAAAACAACAGTACCTAGAGCCATTAGATTTTGAATAACGTAATCATCCACACGAACATGGGCACATAGAAGCCCGAATTTTCAATTTCGAATTTCTTTTATTATCTATTTCACATTTTATAAATTTTAACGAATTTTGATTAACAAACTCAACAATTTCGAAACAAGCAATGACAAATTTTATAGTATTGCTGTTGAATTGAATTTTATGTGTTTACATGAGAAGAACATTATAACACACAAAACATTACAAAGTCCCTTTGAGGGCAATATATAATCTGAAAGCTTTCAGATATTTTAGTTATTTGAATAGTTATTTTTTACGTTTTTATTCATTAAGTAGTCTTTTTGTTACCTTCACCGATATGTTTTGAACTCAAGTTTGCCCAATTAAACATTTGATACGAATAATTTCGAATTATTAATACAATATATTATTACTTTATATATCATTTTCTACCTTTATTTTCTACCTATCATTTTCTACCTTTATTGGTTGAACACGCCACAGCGTGTTCAACCAATGGGGCCGTATCGAGCGGTAGAATTAAGGGCAGCAAAATTTTTAGAATTTACGAATGAATCGGGAGGCAGAATTTTTATGTCACGAAATTTGCCTCGGGTGGCAAAAAATCTGTTTCCGGCCCTGATTATCGCGGCAGTAATGATAATTTCTTTACCGTCATCGTGATAATTATTATATCAGTAAACAGTGTGATAAATTAAAATGAGCTCAATGATTGATATAATTCTGTTCCTTTTGCAATGAAATTTTACTTGAAATATATTTAAAAAATTTTGTATTATTAGATTTCATTTATTTCCATTAATATAAAATGCATACAAAAATTTTCATAAGTTTCAGATAGGAAAGCGTGAAGAAAATTATGCATTGCTATCATAGACTCTAAAAGTAAATTATTCTTTACTATTGCGCTACTTACGCTTATCTTATATGAAAAAATAAAACCATAAAACATTCCGTTATCCATGGAACATAAAAACACTCGATTAGAACCTTAATCTCTCCTAAAGAAATGTAATCAGCGACGTAGGTTCTGAATGGCACTGCAAATATTTAACAACTGTCACACAGTCTTAAAATAGAAGCTTTCAAAAGCTTTGTGTAAAGTATTAACACTAAAGGTAAAACGCCAAAGTGCTCTGTTTATAGTAGATTAAAAACGTGTTTAACATGCTTTTTAAAACAGACTTCCTGCAAACGACATTTAAATACACCCGTCAGTTTTAATATTTTGATAGACTTAACGGATTATGAGTCTTTTTCAGTTTCTGAATCATTTTCGGAATATTTTTTATATTACACATTGGCTCGTATAATTTTGCTTAAAAGACTCTCCCTTTTTATACTAAAACAATAGATTTTTGCATGAAGATATACATTTATAGAGAACCCATTATAACAAACAATAATCGGGATTATTAATAAAAAAGCAATGCAATATTTTGGTTTGCCAGAATCCAAGTGCACATAGGAATGTTAGAGTTATAAGGTATTTCTCCCGACTTCTTAGAGTGCCTTCGTGGTGTAGTGGTCTGCACGCTGGGCGCGTATCCCAAAGGTCCGCGCTTCTATTCCCGGCGAAAGCTTGATAAAAAAAAACATTAATTATATTTATAGGTAAATGAAGTTATCTGATAAACTACACTTTTCCAATATCATTCTTTATGAGAGCTCTACGAGCCATAGAAATGCCGCAGAAGGTAAGTTCTTTTAGTGAATCTTAGCATCGAGGGGGAGGGAATTGAAGAGATATCGAAGGGGAAATTTTAATCTTTTAGTCGAGCTTCAAATCTGGGAACCGAGAGAGGTGGAAAATTATGAATATGTGCTAAGAGTAAGAGAAGTTCGAAGAGGAAATTTTAATATTTTAAGTCGAACTTAGAAAATAAAATGTGGTAGAGAGGTTTCATTGTGCATTCAACAATGAGTATCGACTTACAATTCTGTGTTCATAAAAAATGAGTGGAATCTCAAATGAGTGGAATCCAAGTGTCTGTGACTTAAGTTAAAAAAGGATTCTTCATGTTAATGCTATTTGAAAGAGACAGTGGTTGAGAAACAGGTTTCACAGAAAAAGCAGGAACTGGTGGTATGTAGAAGACGATTTACTTTGGTGTTAAAAAGTAAAAAAGGCATCTATAGTCATCTTATTTACTTTGAAATAGATTTCAAAGTAAATAAGATGCGCAGGGATCAGCATTTATGAAAAACTAACTGCAGATTAATGTTAAATCACATAATATAAGAGTAATACCCGTTTTCTTCGCATGCTTTCGTTGTGTGGTGGTCTGCACGCTGTGCTCATATTTCAGAGATCAGGGGTTCGATTCCCGGCGAAGGCATTGCTGATTTTTCCTCTTGTCTGCTTCCAAAATTAATGTCTCTACAAGTGATTCGAAAAAGGCTTAATAATAGGAAATCTTTCCTTATCTGTTTGAAAGTTCAGATGTTGCTTCCTTCAATATTTATAAATTTAAGCTTTCAACATTTTTATTCCCAAAAAGTTCAGCAATAAACAGGAAGATCAGAAGCTAATAAATGAATACTTTGCCTCAATATTAAAATAATTTTTCAAAAAGAGAATTGAAAATTTGCCTGAAGGATGAAGAGAAGGCATAGAGAATTCTTTAGAATAAATAATATTATGCAATTTCAAAAGTGAGATTAAAACTGTAAGATTAAAAAGGTGTTTAAAGAAATTCTGAAAACCGAAAGAGTCATTCCAGAAAGATTTAAGACAACTGACTTCAAGGCTCTTTGGGGGGGGGCACCTTGATGCTTTGATTCTAAATGACTTATCATTTCATTAAAGATTCTCTTCTAGCAATGTATTTTTTTACTGCTTTTTGAAAGAAACTTACGATTCGTATTTGTGATTTAAATTAAATTTTTATAAGTTCCAATGAATCCTAACTCGTCTATAATTTTGTTACTAGCTGAAATCTCAAGCTGTTACACATACAAAGTAGGGCAGAAAAACGTAATATACCTATAATCATTTTTAAGCAAATTGTAGAGACATTAGATATTTTTGGAAGAATAAAAGAAGAAAAATTAGCAACCGCTTCGCCGGGAATCGAACCACGGACCTCTGGAATACCGGCCCAGCGTGCAGAGCCACTACACCACGAAGGCACGCTAGGAAAGGGGGAGAAATACCTTATAAAATAAAGGTAAAATTTAGATCAATTTCAAGTTCTGAAAATGACAAAATGTTTCAAATGTCGTCCTCCATGGTCTACACATGGCTGGTTTCGATCAGCGAAACTTCGCATAACGTTTCGAAATATTTTTCTCGGTACGGCAACTATCTCATGTTGAATGACGGACTTAAATTAGGATAAGGAACTTCATTTCTGGAAGTGCACTCTCGATTTTAACTAATTCTATTGGAAATAGTCGCAAGCCAAAAGATCAAGTGACCTGGATACCTTTACGTGGGGGCACTAAACACTCCCGGAATAATCTCTCAACAATTCTGTCGAATTCCTAGCCATGTGGGCATTTGCCCTTTTTTATTGAAGCAGAGCTCGGTTCGATATGCCCGTAAGAAACACAGGATGATCAGCTGAAATTCTGACACTCGATACCCGTTATGAGTATCGTAACATTGTAACCCATTATGAGTATGGTGTGGACACTAAAAAAGCTGTACAAAGTTTCACTGAGGAAGAGAACATTTCCAAAATGCCATATTCAGAACTTAATATTGATATAGTTTTTATTTTTAATTTCTTTCAACCGTGGCGTAAATTTAACTGCTAAACTACAATATCAACAGATATGAGTTCTTCGTATTCACCGTTTCATTTAATTTTAAAAAACCGTCAGATTTCTCTATCCTACCTTATATTACTACTTTCATTTATCCTATTATTATACAAATTACACCGCTGGGAGTGAGCATTTAATATTTATCTTATCTTATATTTTAGCCAAAGTTGAATATTGTAATTTCCATTTACGAATTAAAAAAATGACACTAATAATTTCATATCAAAATAAGCAGTATTGTTTTAATTCTTCCAGACAATTAATTGTATCAAATTTACAAAATGCATATTATTTACCTTTTCTTCTACCTTTTTTTCTTCAGTGGAGTTTTCCTTCAGTTTCTGAGCTTCCCTCTTGATGGCATCTACGGCTGCAGCAGAAATACCCTTTATGCCATCCTTAATGGTACCCTTTATGAAGCCAACGACTTCAGCCATGTTTTTATCCAAAGCTAACCGAGCTTCGAGGTAAGCATCTGCAGGAGAAATAAAAATGTTACATTTTTATTTTTGAGAATGATTTCCCAAAATAATAACTAAGCAGTGATTTTTTTTATCTTAAAATCACTATGGACCCATTTCAATCAAGACGATCAGTCACATTATACTGAAGTTTAAGTTAAAGTACTAATATCAGTTTGATCCACCTAACAGCTTAGTAAACTCAGTGTTACGGCTAATTCTGCAAACACAGAACAGTGGTAAACAAAACAGAACAACGAAAATTTTATTTGACTATTTAATTTTTTTTAATTATATTTTTTTTTATTTAACTTGTGGGTATGCAATTTAAATAAGCAAAGCACGAGGGAAGATTCTTGCGAAACAATAAAAAATATATGCCCAAATAATTAAATTAAATTCACATAGTCAAAAGATGCAACCAAGCTTCCAGAATTAAAATTCACATTTCATTCGCCGACCTAAAATACTCATGGTCATTGATAGCACAAACAGAAAATTCACTGCGGAGAGTCTCATTGCTGAAACATAAAGCAAATTTTAAGAGCCCCTTATCTTCCTCTTCATTAGTTTCTGATATAAATTTTCTTTTCGTTTTAATCCCAAATTACAAAATTCAAATTTCATGGAGGAAAGGACATGGTGGCCATCTTGGTAATGATCAAGCAGATGAATTAGCCAAAGATGCAGTTCTTAATCAATATGGTATTGAATCATCTTTTCATAGCCTCGTTTAAATTCCAAATACCAACTAAAATAAATTGCTTAAAAATATTGACAAGATATCTCGAATAATATTTCACAGGGAAGTTGTACATGTAATTTGATTTTCATGTTAAGCTGCACATCTGTATACTCGAATCCTTCATTAAATTACTATGTAAGAGGACACGGACCCTTCACATATTTCTACGCAAGCAATCTCCACTAGCTTTATATGTGGAGAACAGGGAACTCCTGATCTTTACACTTAACTGAAGATAATCGTATAATATCCCAATAAACTGGCATTCTAAAAAGTTTCTAATTAGAGATAACATCAGTATCCCAGTTTCAAAAATTATGCAATGACTCTCTTCTTATGGCCTAGAGATTTGCTAAGTATAGGTTCTTCATGCTGCATAAATCTAATGAATTTTTACATCGTGTAAATATGTTCAAAAGGAATCCACTTGTGAACTTTATAAAGAGCAATAACCTGCTCCAATATACCATATGAAGTACTGTTTTTAAAACTATTTTGGTTTCTTGCCAAAAGTACCTTCTGTATTTCCCAATTTTTGCATTTTCAGACACCTGAACTCTTACCATGATTTTTCGTGTTAATCTTGCCATTCAAACGATTTGACCCCATAGGCAGTTCTGTAGTATTATTAGTACAATTTATTATGTTATCGTGTTCCCAGTAGTTACTATATTTATTTCATTATGCTTATCTGCTATTTTTGTTACATCAAAACAGGTGTTCTCAATTTAATTTGTTAATTTCAAATTGTATTGAAATTATATTGTAATCGCTTTATGTCGTAAAGCATTATTTTAAATAAATACTGGATGTAGGATGCAGGGTTGGATTGCACGATCTGCCAAAATAGGTAAACTCTAACAGATCCTTTGGAAGGCTTCAGTCGCTCATTCTCCTCAAACTTTCTTCGTAATCTCTTATAAAGCTTAGAAACTAACCATACCATCTAACCCTAAAATTTTTTAGGGTTAGTTGGTGTGGGAAGGTATTACCAGTTGACCCATGATATATCGCTGGTGTACCCCATACTTTTGCCTGTACCTGTTACTCTCAAAATTTAAATTTAGTTAACAATCAGAAGAACTTAAACTTCATGCTCTTGTATGTAGCATTTGAAAGGACTTTTAAACTGGACGAGTCCTGTGTGAGAGAGAAACCACAAGAACTAGCAGTCAGTCTTTAAAAAATTAATATATTTGTCACCAGATTATTTTATAATTATACGCATAGTCTTGAAAACCTTCTCAAAACGTACAGGAACAAATTTTCGTTCCTAAACTGGTTTCTAAATTAAAAAGCTTCGAAATCAAAATACTTTGAAAATATTCTCTAAAATAAACAATAGTTCTCCAGTTATTTCATTGCATGTCCGCAGAAATGAAGATGATGTCATGACGTTTAAGTTAAAACGAAACGCAAGCATGAAGCCATTATACCCGTAAGAATAGCCACGTGAAGTCGGAAGCTTATCAAGGCAAATTCCCATGCCTGTCAGACCTTCAATGTATCCGCATTATTCCAATGGCTCAGGTCCCAGAGCTGTAGATGAAGTCCTACTGATTAGCAGTATTCGTCCATCCTGCTGTAAAAGAATGTTTGTGACCTGATTCATTTGCAGAGACGAATAAAATCGTCATGATCACCGTCTAAGTATATAGGAAAATATATTCTTGAACTGAAGAGCTAACGTCTTTTCTTATGTTTCAGACAATCAAAGAATTTCTCTTCTCTTCTTTCCCTCAGTGCCAAAAATTTTTAATTATGTTTTTGTTATGTTATATTGTCTGAATGATAGTACAATCGCATTTTCGGAATTACATTCCGCTAGAGGATTATGGACTCAGTGTTCATAAAGACTTATGCTTATGCTAAAAAATTGAGTAGCCCTATGTTTCGTAGAAAAAAACAAGGTAAAAGAAAATATGCTTCTTCGTTTTATTGAAACAGAATATAATTTTATCCTACATCCATCTTCCGCATTTCTGCCATTAGTCAACTAGCAGCCCAATAAAATTATGAGAATGTAAAAAGGTAAGGGTAAAGATTAGCCTTCATAGAACTGCCTGTAATAAACTTTAAAGTAATAGAGTAGTTCTTGAAGTATTCACCATCCATATCACCATGGGGATACAGAGAGCAACAAGCTGAATCCTTGACTCCAATCCACTGTAAATGTTGCTGCAAATAATCATGGTAGAGTTTATTTATTTTGTTGAGCAGGACTTCACATGTTGTCCACTGCTGCATCAACATATAAGGATATTTCTGCTATTTTTCATTTCATTGTACATAATTTTTTAATATTACGCAAAGGTAAAGGGAAGTTAGGTTGAGCCATAAGGGATCCGGCCTTGGCAAGTCTATCTGCCTGCTCATTTCGAAAAATATCATAATGGCTCGGAATTCACTGAAGGACATAAAGCTCTTTCTACTTTCCCTTAGATCAAATTGTTTCATTTCATAAGAATGAACCTGGACATTTTCATAATAGTTAGAATTGTTAAATGACAAAATATCAGCTTGTGAGTGATTGGAAAACACAATATTTTGATCTAGCCTATTTCTTAATTTATCAGTTGCATATATTATAGCAGCTATCTCTCCATCAAAATTGTCACTGTACTTCCCAACAGGACAGCCAGTGCTAAAATTACTTGAACAGACTCCAGCACCAGAAATTTTTATCGCATTTTCTCCTGAGTCATCTGTTTAAACATGGAACCACTTGTCTGGACGATACCTGTAATATATGGTAGCCAGATCAGCATTTTGTAACTCATTCGGAGTACAAAGCTGTTTGTTTATATTCCAAACAAGATCTAGATATCTTTCCAGCTTAACTAAATTTAAATCGCTTTTCCGCTCCTGTGAGAAAAACTGAAGATTATATAGGAGCATCGTAAATATCATAAAGATCATATACAGGCGAAAGGAAGGACCTATGAGTCTTTAGTCTTTCACTTGCTGATCTATAGCAATTTTAAAAATTTTATTTTCTTAAGATTTTTTTCAAGAATTTCTTAGATTTTTTCAAGAAGAATCATATCAATCCGTTGATACTTTCACTTAAAGGCTTCAAATCTGTCTATAATTCCATAGCAACAATAGGAGTGTTTGCGCCGCCAGTGATCAGCCGCAAGATGTTGTTTTGGAAAATGTCCGGCTTGTTTCTAATAGAATCTGAGGCAGTAATAAAAACCCTCATTATCATATTCAACAACGGGACGCACATAACGTTTATAGGCTATACACAAAACACGTTGGGTTGAACCCCAAGTAATACCAACTAAACGTTTCAGTAGTTTAGATCTCAAAATGTCCTCGATCAATCGATGCATTTATTTCTTTTTTCAAAGATAATTTTGTGTCTAAATGAAAACCCAAGTAAATAAAATCGTATATTCCATTAAAGATCATAATTCATTAAAGATCTTAATGAAAGGAAATGTCATTATATTTAGTACTAAGAGAAAACAATTGGAAGGTAGGTTTTTCATTATTTACTACCGTATTATTTTCATGAGTTCAGGTGAACATTTAAGACCTGTTGAAAGACACTCTCGAAGACAAAAACGTCGGATCCAGTAGCCCTCATTCCCATATCCTCAGGTAATAACAAGATATTAATGCCCGGGAGAGATCTAGAAATATTGTCAATTAAATCGTTTATCATAACATTAAAAAGAATAGGACTTAGTACTGCTCTCTGAGGTAAACCTAGTTTTGTTTGTCGGTAATCCGACACAATTTAACCATATTTAATATTTATAATTCTCGGTTCAAGAAATCTTTTAATCCATCTATGTAAATTGCCAGAAATGACACAGGAAATCAGTCTTTTAAGCAATCCAGCACTCTGAATTTTATCAAAAGCAATTTTTATATCTATGAATACAGAAAGGGTACTTTGCTTTCTCTGAAAGCTATCCTTTATCTCTTGTGACAAGCGGACTATTTGTTCAGCAGTACATCTATGTCTTCGAAAACCCAACTGCCTTTCCGAAATGACACTAGCTTTGTCCAATACAAACACAATCTGTTAGCAACAAATTTCTCTGTTAATTTACAAAAATATTTTTAAGAGAGACTGGGCAATAAAGTGTCCACATTCTCTGTTCTTTAAGTCTACATTCTCTGTTAAGTTTGAGAAATAGCACTATCAGAAATAGGCTTTCTCCAGGTACTTGGCAAACCATTTTTCCAAGTTTGTTTTATAAACTTCAATAATACAAGTTTCGCAGAATTTCCATGGCTAGTGAAGAATTCAGGTACGATTCCATCAGGACATGCACTCTTACCCTTCACTAAAGTACCAAGACCATTTTTCAGATCCTTCATACTGAAATCAGCATCGAAAAGCTTCGTTGATGTATTTTTGCCTTGTATAGCTCTCAATTTATTTTTCTTTATTTTAATAGTAGGTTTGAAATTACTAATTTTAGCATAGTGCTTACAAAAACCTGTGAGTCTCTATGCCATGTCCTCTAAAATCCAGTTCTTCCCAAAACATTTTAAATGAAGAACATTTAGACTCGATAAGGAATCTTTATAAAATAGCCTGTGCCTTACGGAGCACTATACAGTCCTCCTTAAGTCCAGGTTTACTGTCTGACGAGTTTTATCTCTGCCACTCTTGTTTTAGCAGATTTTCATTCCAAAAAGCAGTTTGGGAATTGGTTTCTGCAGATTTATATTACAAAAGCTTTACTGAATACTAAATATAATAAAATGATAACTACTAATTTATAAATTCAGAAGTTAGATGATATTTGGAAGTCACAGTGATATTTCGAAATTTCAAAAAAAAAAAAAAAAAAAAAAAAAAAAAAAAAAAAAAAAAAGCATTTTAAATCGAATCTCAACTCTGTGAAGTCGCTAGTGGGCAGTTAATAATGCCTGAATCAGCCAAAGATAGTATGTAAAATTTGAAAATGGGTTAGAAAGGGATTGAAAGGCTTCAGCAATTATTGCTGTCATCGTAAAATTATCTGAATGGGCACATGCAAAACTAAAATTTCATACGAGGCCTAGATGAAATTGCATGTAATCCAGCAATCAAGAGGTTTACATAACTAAAGCGAATCTTATGAAACAACTGATATCTAAAAACATGAAAACTAATAAGATGATTCAGAGATATTTAACTGATTTCTTTCACATTGTAGATACATTTTCTGAAAAAAATATACAGAAGAAATTCCTATCTAAGTCGGTGTTCAAAATTAACAGAACGTTTGCATTTCATTGAATATGTCTAAAAGTAATGGACAGAGTTTAATGAAATTCGGTATGGATATAAGTTTAATAGTACAAAACATTTACTTTATAGTAATCATGCTACACATTCCCGATCGAGCGTTAAGCTTGTCGATGCTGGTAGATCTAAATCACAGATTGTAATATCAAACAAAAAATGAGGCTAATGGAGAGATGGTCCCCTCTAACAATCATATAACACTTACAACATGAGTTCATACTAGAAATGCGGCACCTGTGGTAATTGGTCCCACTTCTGTAGAAATATTTATTTCAGGTTCTAGAAGGCGCTAGGTGTGGGCAGACAAATTGCGTCGGTCCTCCAAGAGCGTTCTGGATATATTCTATATCGCATAAATCTGGAGATTTGGCTAACCAATCCCTCCTGTTAATATTCTCATTTTCCACAAAATCAGCCGCCAGATTAACTCTATGTGGATGAGAGTTGTAGTCCACGAAAATGAGATGAGGGCAATTGTATTCCGAAAAAGCGAACATAGAGCTTTAAGATCTCGTCTGTTTATAAGAAAACATATTATTTATGCCTTACTCACATCTTTCTATAAATCAAACAGTCCTTTGAGCATTGTACACAGAGCATCATTTTTGGACCAGAGATCGACCATAAAATACAGAATACCGAGCACGAAATCCATTACTGTTGCAATGGATCTCACGTAGCAGCTTTTTTATTTTAGCGACACGCAAATTCATGTCTGGTCAGTATGGCGGATGTTCCATTACCTCCTACTGCCAGCGTCGCAGAACATGCGTGATAACGTTTGAATTAAGATACCGCGCACTGCCATACAGGATGATGAGATTCACCAACAAATGTCGTTCTGTCTGTGGACGCAGATGATGCCTCGGATGACAAATGTTAGCATCTTCCGAAGCATTCCGAGGTATTATAATGCAAGTTCTGTCATGGTTCTCCTAGCACATTGATGATGGAAGATTCTACAATTCCCATCATACTTAGCTGATGTGAGTCTGTGGTATTATGTACTCATTATTGAAATGAAACAAGTAGTATAAAAGATACATTACAGCATTGCAGTAAAAGAGTGGCTACCTAAGATTTAGGGCGGTCACCGTCGAACATAAACAGATATGAATCTACTAACGGTGTACAACGGTACAACGCTTTTCAGAAATTGGTTGAAGATGGTAGACATGGTTGGCAATTAAACTGAATAATCGCACTTATTTGTGCATATGGTAATGAAGTCTTTTTAAAACTATCGACGTGCTGCCACTATCGATGTACCAACCCTTGTAAGTTGTATACTAATTATTGAACTGCAAAGTGAAAAAAAAATATTTGTAACTATTTTTGTATTTGGATAGCTCACAAACCATTAATTACTATTAAATATTTTAATTGTTCTTTTACTTTTATATTTGCTAATGAATTTAAATCAAGTCTGTGCCCACCGGCTGCAGACTGAGTATTAGCAGTAAAGACCCCTGAGTATTAGCAGTAAAGATACCATTTCAAACCCTGGGGAAATAACTGACTACGTGTGCGTTTTCGTGATTTTCCACATGTTTAATTTTAATACGTCGCATTTTTTCATAGAAAATTTTCTACAAAGGCATTCTTTTCCTCAAGCTGATAGCTCTCGAAACAATCTCTTGCTATAATCATATATATTAAAGTCTGTGAAAGGGATAGTTGGAAGTTAGTCAACAATTACATTTTAGGTTAGCAAATTTTTTGTTTCGAACATTCATCATATGATAGATGAAAGAGAAGCATACCAACTTTAAGTTTTGGTAAAAGTATTCTACAAGCAAATCATTTCTGCCTGTATAAAAAAAGGACTTTTGTCATATTCATTTAAACACAATTTAACGTTTAATCCTCGAAGTACACGGTTTGTAATTATGCACGTGATAATCATCTACTTGAAATAATGAATGCTTTCGTGGAGAACGGTTCTTAGAGAAACTTTCTTATATGCATACTGTTGTTGTCTTGTCCATGAATTTCATGGAAAAATGGTTGCCAGAGCCTCAAGGAGGTTGGATTTTATTTCCACTTAAATTTTGAGGGACAACTTCCGGGGGGATCCGAGGGTTTCCTATCTCTCTTCCCTACCACCAATCCCCGCGAGAGGACTTTGACTTTCGGCTCGCCATATATTTTGAGCGCCCTCATGCCTCAAAAACATCAACATTTACAAACATCCATGCTTTCTCCGAGACCCGAGCCCGGGAACTTCGGTACCACAGTAAGCTCCCTTAAGCGCTTTACCATCTGTGCAGCATATATCCATGCTGTACATAGAGGAACTGCAAAAAAGATCCATGTAACCAATCTATTCATAGGGATTTTGAACCTAGGTCGAATTAACTGAGTTCAATGGTTTCAAAATAGTCTCAGATTTTTTTAAATTAAACATATCGCTATCTAACATTTTAATTAAAAACCAAAAATTTCTGGCATATATTTTAGCAATAAAATTAATACCATTTTCACTTTCGTCACAAAATTGTGTTACTGTTATCAAAATCAACAAGTACTAACCTGTTAAATTGTGAATTTTGTCTAGGTATTTCTCTAATGTGCATTTTCCGTTGTCGAACAGAAGATCAAAGTTACTCGTGACCAGAGACTCCCAACATTCAGTAATATTTCTATAAGCCTTCTTTACTTTGCTCGAGAAGATATTTTTCACGTTTTTAAATTGGGTGTATACTTTCTTTTCTTCGCTGAAAGAGAAATAACATAAAAAAGAAACGAAATAAAGGAATATTTTCCGATACAAATTAAGTTAAGCACTGGTAATGTTATATAAAAATATCTTATTTGTTCTCTGAAATACAAAGCATCACGAAAAATCTGAAAACAAAATATCAAAACTTCATAAATTTAAAACATAAGACCGTGCGATGATAATTTAGAAAGCAAATTTCAATCTGTGATAATATATTTTCTTAGTTGTGCTTGTTCTCAAGATCACATGAACGGTTTTTTACTTTAATACCGCTTGTGTGTTGATAGAGACCTAGGCATGGATCAAAAGACTATTTTCAGCGAGTGGCCAAAAATCTATTATTTCGAAAATCAAATTTTTCTTTTTTTTTAATATAATCCTGCATATGTATTTATGTTTATTAATTACTATACGATCATGGATTAATGGATTGAATGCTAAAACTGCCATTCTTATACACACATCCGCACACACATATATGCATATATACATATATAGCACAGAAAACTTTAGTGTATTTCACTAAATGTTATTCAGAAAGTCCAAAAAGGAAAATCCTGCGCAACTGCTGTATATTCTCTATTATAATTTTTAATTATAATATATATATACGTTATATATACTATTAACCTCACTATTTTATTATTTTCCTTCAAATTTCTTTTACCCTCTTCTCCTTTACCAGTTATGCAGGCTATGTAAATGCTTTAATAAAATGTCCATCTAAACATTAGGCAGCAATCTTTTAGCAACACTGTTCTATAAACATGTTAGTCTTTCTGTAAAAGCTATTTTTCACACGACCTTATTTACCGCACTACAGCAAATAGAATATGTTCGAGTCCCCAACAAACTGCTATAACTTTCCATAATACGTAAAATTTTAAGAACTTTTTTATTAAGTAAGTATTATTTTAAAGTAAGCAGAACAAAATTTCAATTTCGAATTTTATTGTTACATATTACCTCGATTTCTAAAGTAATACATAGCCATTCTTTATAAGTATATAACCTATGTATTACACGTTTGTATAACCGCAACGTTTGAAGCTTATGATCTTACATAAATATAATAGTCTTTAAATTATCATAGGTTCTATAGTTGAATATTGTATTGATAACACCATTATTCTGGTCTTAACCCTGCACTTTAATTAATCTTAGAATCTTTTGACGCTGGTTTAAAATCATAATTTGTGTTTAATGCAACCAATAATAAACTTAAATCGTGAAACAAAACGTAGAGAAAAATGAAATGTAATTTTCGTTTAAATGATTTTAAATAAAAATTAGTAAATCATTAGATCACGAAATGCATCATATAATTTGCAATAATGATATCTCCTATACAGAAAATGACTTAAACTTTCTCCAGAATATTTGCCCAGACGTTCAGTTTTGTAAATCGGTCCCTATTTTCCCAAATCATCTTCATATAACCTCGAAAAGCGTAAGCTTTTATTTTCTTCTTTTTCTCAGCTTTCTCCCGGTCACTTATACGTTATCTGATGTGAGCATGTACTGTGAAGTAGCGATAATCAATCCTCTGAGAACGCTATTTCCTAAATTATGAAAAGTTTCTCTTGTTTAATATGAAATCTGCTTCATATTAAGAAACTTTTAATTGAAAAAATGATTTGTCATAATTGTAAGAACTTTTGTTATTCTAACCAATTATTTTCAGTCTTCTTTTCCTTTCTCACCTGATTCCAGTTTCCAGCCGGAATATAAATTTGTAATGATGTAGATGCAAATCTAAACGTGTTGCAGAAGCAGTATTTAAGCTGCGTTTCAAGAGTTCGAAAAGAATAGTAACGGCTTTAGTTCCAAGTTCATGCTACGTGTTTGAAATTATCTCTAGCCAATGTTGGACACCTTTCAGTTAATACTGATATGTCTAGACTCGGCTTTGCCGATTTAGCGCTTAGTTAGACTAGAGGAGCCAGTCGTTAGATATCTCAGTTTATTAGTGATTTGTTACGTTCTTATTTTCTGTTAAATTTACGTTAGCCACAAACGGTAGTGATTTGTGAGCACTAAGTGCGTGCATCGGTTTTAATTTAGTTTAAATAAAAAAGGTTATTTAAACCTTATCTTCTGCAAGAATTTTTCATCAAGACGTAGCAATAATTCGCTACTTCATCTTCTAGATAGAGTCCAAATTCTATGCTACCAAAAAGAACAAGGATCTTCTAAAGATCCTTGATCCAAAAAGAACAAGGATACTATATCTTAACCTTATTTATTATTCTGAATAGTTTGGTAGAAATAATGCAATATGCAGCTTCGTTTCTAATTTAGTTTTTCTGAGCTGCATCATGAAACGTTTGCAAAGTTTAAACTTGCAAATCTCATGAGGTATCCAAAATAAAAAGAAAAAGGAACTTAAGAGGATTATTCACAATCCTGTGAGATGTTTTTTTCTCAAATGTTCAGTATGTGATACGATAGGCATCTATGAAATAAACTATTTCACTCCTCACGCAGACAGCTATGTCTTGATTGGCAAAAGCACAACGCCGATGATACGATTGCTAAAATGCTGGAGATTAACTGGAAGTGGAGACATAAAAACAATGTGCTTGACATATCCTACAAGAAAAAGTTGTATGGAGATTAAATCCAAAGGCTGGCGTGGTCTTCGCATTAGAGAACCATCATCTTATCTTGTCGTCCTGCTCATATTTGTGAAAAATTTTGACTAATATATTCTCTCATTTTTTCTCTATTTCTGTGAAAAATATTGATTGGAATGCATCCCCATAGGATCTCAAAAAAGGTTGTCTACAGTAGCAAGCCAGATAACTGTCTTCTTGAAAGAGATATCATCACTGTTTTCATTCGACATCAGCAAATTTTCCAGCACGTTCTAATAAATCCTCCTAATAAGGCATAAATATTTGCCATACCAGTAAACGTAGACACATGATAAGGTATTTCTCCCGCCTCCTTAGCATGCCTTCGTAGTGTAGTGGTCAACATGCTGGACGCATATTCCTGAGATCCGTGGGTTCGATTCCCGACGCGTTGTTCACCTTTCACTTCTCCTGCTTCCAAAATAATTCTAATGTCTCTACAACATGAGCATTTGTGAGATATGAAAAAAAAAAAAAAAAAAAACTTAAATCTTACGTCTAATTGTATGTAACAAAATTTGCATTGGTTAAGTAGTTTATTTATGAACCCTATCAGTTACTTCTTTATAAACGTACGCAAAACTCTGTATATTTATTATTCATAGTAACACCTTAATATCAAAACATATATTACTCTCTAAAATCCCATTTCCATCTTGCTGGCTATAAAATATGTCAGATATTTCTCTAAATTAGTGATTTTATTTTGCAAAGAAACTTCCACGTGGTACTACCCCATAAATTAATAACTATGCAAAGAATCTATTTATACGGTTGATGTAACTTAGGTAAGAAAGCTGAGAAGTTTTCAGAATTGCCCCTGAATCAGAGACAATTATTCAATGCAATACTTCTACGCGGTAGAAAAATCCTAAAATTGTCTTACTCGCTGGAAGCATCTCGGTCTGGCAGGTCAGCCATGACTGTAGTCAAACTGTCTGCTACTAAATCACACACTCGACTCACAAATTCTTTGCTGTCTGAAACAAATAAAAAGAATATATATATATATATATATATATATATATATATATAAAATTTATAATAAATATTTTTATATGGATATATATATCCATATAAAATTTTTTTATATGGATGAAATGAAATTTTTTATATGGATATATATATATATATATCCATATAAAAAATTTCAAAAATGGTTATATTAACAATAAATAAATGAAACCTTTTTAGAATGCTACATATAATCCAACATTACTTTTAATGTTATTTATACTGCACACTTTACACATACATAATTAAGGAGTCATAAAGCAGAGGTAAATGTTAGTTTGAATAAGAAAGGAAGTCAGTACGATCTCAGAGCACTGGAGGCTTTTACTCCGGAGAAAAATTGCAAAGCTGGAAGCCCAAAGATTAATGGCTGGATGTAATGATTTTCACTTAATCAATACAGCAATGATTTTTGAAAAATTAGGACTGATTTCAAATGAGTATAGAAGTCGCTAAATATATTATACTAAAACACATGTTAATAGATAAGCATAATGCTCTTTTTAATATACCAAAATTTTGCACTGAAATTTTAAATAACGGCAGAATTTTAAAATAAATTGCTTTAATTATTCTTAACTTAATGAAATAAAAATTGACCTATTTCTTTTAAAATATGTCATCTGCTGTAATTTTGTTGATCGGATTAGCTTTCTCTGCGCTTTGGATTGCGTTCTATTTAATGTTTTTAGTAGTTTAAAATATAGCTACTGATTATATTACGTGATATAGTGATATTGTACGAATATCTTTGAGGTGTTTTGTTATATTTCTTGTGGTAAGAACAAATTTTATTAACTTTTTATCGGACTTGTGTATTCACTCTGTTACGAACCCGTCCTTAATCTGTGAGAATTCACAGAAAATATGCTCTGCTTTCTCCTGTGGTTTTAACGGAAATTCATTGCTTCTCTAATTTAATTCACATTTTTAACATCTTGCTTCATAAAAGCAGCCATGCTGAGTGTGCCGGAACCTCTGGTAAAGCAATGGGCCGATCGTTTCTTCTACTTGAAGTTACGCTCTACAGTGTAGCTTCTATTTGAAGCTGACGTGCATACTGAACATATCATTTTCATTAAAAATTATTTTCCTGATTGGATGCAATGGAATCTTATCAGAGGTTAAGAAGCGAAAGAATTCTACCAGAATTCAAGAATCAGTTCATTTAAATTTATGATCTAATTCTTCGGTATGCCAGATGCATTTAAATATTGTAGTCACTGAATGTATCAAATGGACAATATGCACATCACAACTTCAGCGTATTATCTTAGCTAAACATCACAAACATATTATCTAGGACCGTTCTTTCATTTCATGAGTTAAACAGCAGAAGTCACTTCAAAAGTTAGCTTAGATCTATTAGCATAACTTAGTCTACAAAAATGGAAGTAAACAATCATGCATTGAAGTATTCAAATTAAGTACACAAAATTTGCTACTTAATAAGAGAACTTCGAGAACAAATTATACAAAGATGATTTACGAGAGTATTTTCAAGAAAATAAAAGAGTTAACTGGCAAGCACAAAACGGGATTCGCGTTGGATGAAATCATTGAACAGCTACAAAGGTAAGACTTAAAGATATTTCTGTTTCCGCTGTCTGATAAATGGGTGGAGTCCATACTTTTTTAATATATACAAATAAATAAATGTCTGCACTGTGATCCAGTCAATAAATAATTCTTGTATAAAACTGTTGCTGGAACACAAAAACTATTAAAACATCAGATTTGTTGTTGGTTTTGTCTTGTCCATATTACAATTAATGCTTGTTAGAGGCTACTCCGAATAGAAGTTGGACTTCAATTTTCCACCCTCAGTTTAAGAACTACGAGGGGTTTCGGAGTTCTCCCATACCTCTCCCCTTCCACCAATCTACACGATAGGACTTTCGGCTCTCCGCATATTTAGAGTGCCGCCATGCAGCACCGACATGCACACTATACATTTACAAAAATCCATGTCGTCAGCTGGTTTCGAAACGGTCCCTTCGGCACCGTAGTAGGCTCCTCTAACCACTATACCGTCTAGGCAATATTTGTGGTGAATGATTGAGCATGTAACATGACTTCGGTTTTTCGAAAGGCTGATGGGTATTGTCCGTTGTCGGTGTAAAGACATCTACTCAGAAACATTTCATCCACAAAATTAACAAACTATATAAGACGATCACGAATGGGAATAATTTACATCTCTTCAGACAAATATTTAGTCACATGACAGTGTGTCAGACAAATTCGGAACAGACAGAAAAGAAAACAAGACACCGGCCATGTGAATATCTTATACGAACCATTTCTAAAGTTACTTTCGACCCACCTTTACTCAAAAACTATTGGACCTACAACCTTGCAATTGCGTAAGTCCAATAGAGCTCACTTGAACACCTAGAATTCCAAATTTCATTAATCTACCTCTTATAGTTACGGAATTATTAAGTTCTCAAAAGAAGTATTTATATTTATATCACTCACTGACTGACTGACTCATCAAAAACCTAGACCACTTATTTATGACTTAGATACTTGAAATTTGGCTTCAAGGTAGATTAACTTCGAAAAACTACATTTTTATCAAGGTTAAATAAATTAATACTCATAACGAGCATAGGCAACGTAACCAATAGATAGCGTTGCACCTACAGCTATGATTCCTACAGCTATGATTAAAGCAACTGCTATGAGAAGTTGCCATCCGTTAGATCTCAACTCTTTTGTCGGCGATACCGACCAAACCGAATGTCGTTTCTCCCGAAACTGGACCCTTTTTCACATTTATGTTGTTATGATATAATATTTCTCAAAATATTCATAAAATCATATTGTTATAAAATTTGTACATATACGAATAATTTTAGTGAAATTATTGTATTTTTTTTTATAACGTAACATGAAAATCTAGAGGTAGGACGCTTTGCCGGATAAATAAGAATACATAGGAAAGGCCTATTTATCATTCAGTAAACGGCTGTCTACCTAAACCAAATAACAAATAGTAACTTCAAGAATAATCCGGTTATGGAAATCTTGCTGCAACTGAACTTGCTGCAACTTTTGTAACATGAAATATCTAAAAGAAAGCTATGCCAGAAAAAATAAGAATACAGGGGCAAGTGCATTTAATATTGACTAAATGGGTATAGTTCGACCGTCTCAAGCGCAACCCTGGTTGGCATTCTGCCAAAACACATAGACTCGTCCAAAAGGGGCGGTATTACTTGCTGCGACGTGAATGGTCTTCTCTTCTCCAAAAAGAGCTATGCTGAAGGGAAAGAAAGTCACCATTTTTCCGCCCTATTTTGAGAATAATTCGGTCCGAATGGCGCATGCGTGTTTGCGCTCATGGTCGCGGATGAGGCAGTCGAACTATATCTTGGTAATTTTTTGAGGTGTCGCCAAGCTGACAATGTTTTAGCAACTTATTTTGTCGCCAAATTTGGCGAAATTTTGGTCCGGTCCCTGTATTGCCGTAAGATGTATTGAAATTGAGTTAATGTAATTGACCACTATGTTAGCTGCAACTGTAATTCCACCCTCGTAATGTTTTCCAGTAATTTAGAGAAGCAGAAAGTGCTAGAAATATCTCGGTGGTTATCTGAAAACTATTTAAGGCCGAAGAGACAGCATATGCTCTCAGTTGTTTAGTTATTGTTGTTGTGAGTTGTTAGTTCCGAGTGACATGAGATATCCGACTTAGCTTTCTCTTTAGATACGCTTTGCATTGCGTTATGTTTAACGTTCTTAGTAGTTTGATGCGTAAATACTGATTGTACTCTGTGATACTGTGAACACCCATTTATGCGGAAAATTCCAGATCTTTGAAGTGCTTATTTTGATAAAATAAATTTTATTAACCTATCATCGGATCTACTTGCATTCAATCTATTACGAACCCGTACGCACGTAACAATGTCTCCAAATACAAGGGTATTGCAGTACAAAGCGCGAGCGCTTTACATTTCAAAACATAGAAATCTTGAGCATAAATCCAACATAACATGTTTCTTAAAATCTAGTAAATCTCATGTTTGCTTCTTAGAAATAACTACTTATATTATTTATTATGATGGGTATATATTATTTATGAAGAATAAATAAAGAATGTTAATATGACTATTTTAGAATAGAAAAAAGGAATTATAAGAGAGTTTTTTCACTCACATTTTAGAAATTTTTTTAAAATTATTACAAATTATTTAGTATAACATTACCATTTATTAGAAATCTCGAAAAGCATTTTGTTGTTTGGCTTGGTTTAGTTTATTATGACAAGCCACACCAAGGCTATCTGCTGGTGGTTTAACCAAACTTCGTGTGCAAGTAATGAATAAAATAAATGCACAGCTACGTCCTTAATAATTAATTAAAGTTGTTTTCTACTAAATATATGTCCACGTTTCCAGTGTGACGTTAATTTATAGTGAAATAATCCACAACGGTATTTTTCGCTGATATTTTGCTTTGCCATTTTTAACATCTTATTTTAGATACAGGACATTTTTTATTCCATACTTTTTATTTCTGGAGGGTTGACTGCTAATTTATTAGTCCTATTTTAAAGTTATTGCTAATGAAAAATTAAAACCTTCATACCAAGATTAGATCACAATTTCTTTTCATCTTATAATTTTAAGTTTCTTAAATTTCTTAATATTTTTTAACTTTTTGAAAATTTAATTATAAAATGATCAAGCTGTTTCATAAAGATTTTTGAGGTATGTGTAAAAACTTCTTCATTATATTAGACCATAATTACAAATTTTCATTTTTTTTTAAATTTTCGTATGAGAAATTTAAACATTAATTTCGTAGTCCTGTTTCAAGAACATGTAACAACTCTCGATAATATATATAGTATTAGAATATCAATGGCAAAAATCTAACTCGAGTTTTAGTTACCGTAGTTAGTTTTGATACTGTAGTTATCATAAATGACGCTAAGAAAACTAAAGAAATTTCAATTAAACTTACCTGCAAAAATATTGTCTGTAATTGGTTTGAATTTTTCATAGTAAACAGCATCCAAGGAATGACGATCACATTCAACAGCACTCGCGTATCTTCTTTTCTGTTCCGAATTTACTCTGCACAATAAAACTGCAAAAATTACTAATAGAAGACTCTTTGAAGACGTATTATGAATGCAACCGGTACCTAAAAGGAAAAAAAAATAAAAATCTGAAAGCCTTCAGATTTTATATTACTCCCAAATGGGCCTTTTTTTTTAAACTTTCTGTGTTACTTTTTATTAATTAAATGTCATGTTCTTCTCCCTTAAACCATAAAATTGAATAAATAATTGTTCAATAGATTACAAAATGTGAAATAGATAATAAAACAAATTCCAAATTTGGGCTTCCAGATGTCCATATTCGAGTTGAGTGTTACGTTATTCAAAATTTGATGTCTCTAGGTACTGTTGCTTTTTCACAGTGAGAGAAACAAGAATACATTCATGCAAATTCTTCACTATTTAATTTCTTTAATTATAATGCAGGGCTGTAATATTTGGTGGCAACGAAGAGTGAAACGCCGTTTATAGTGAACCAAAGCAAAATGCCAGATTGAAATGAATAGCCCTTCAGGACAAATTGCATTTAATATTTTATAATGCAGAAAACACATGTCAGAGAGAGAAAAAAGTAGCAATTTTATTTGCAGATTGAAAATAATAATTAATGTATATTCAAGTGTACTATTTTAATACCTTTAGGCAACTTTCGAATAGCCTTCTGTGCAGCTTCAACTTGGATTTTTTTGGTCGAAAAGAAGATAATTGTTTCAGAGTTCCGATTATTTGATAATCTATTTCAGCCACTTCATCATAGCACTGTAGTTCGTGCTAAAAATCATTATTATTATTAAACACCTTGAAGAAAACGATTTTCGAAATGTTAACTGTTTAGAATACTTGGACTTGACTTTCTGGAAAACTAGAAAGTGTTGCTGCTTATGAAAAATATTTATTGCGAGCCTCTTGTGTTAGCGATCCGATGAAATACTTGCAAGGTCTTTTCTTAATAAACGCACAAATCTCCTCGCGCTTTCAGTTCATGAGGAAATAACAATACAGTAATTTATTTTCTATCGCATTCATTTACCATTCCGAACAGCCTTTTCAAATGTTAAATTTTATGTTCTGTGTCTTTAATTGGTTTGAATTTTTCATAGTAAACAACATCCAAGGACGTCATCTAAGGGCATCCAAACAACATCCAAGGGCTTCTATGCCCAGGGAGTAATTCTCGAACGAAGAAGCCTGTCATAATTGTCCACTTCGAAATTGTTTCAGGTTCTCAGTTGAAATTTTGTTTAGGGATCGAATTGCAAATTTTTTATGTTTTATGTTTTATTTTTATTAGTATTTAATTAATTCATTCATTAAATTATAAATTCTTAAACTTCAACCTAGACCTTTCGAGATGCAGAGTATAAGAAGCAGAATATCATGAAGCAGATGTTTTAGGACTTACGTATTAACACAACCACCTTGGGGCAATTTGGCGGTCTTTTACAGATGAAAAGGTAAGCATTGCTTATTATGTACCAGTCTACGATTCTGGAGATATTTTTATAAGAAACAGTCCCAAAATATCGATATTTATTGTAAGCAAGCAAATATTGCACCTTATCAAGAGAAAAAACATTTTCAAACACAAATTTTAATTTTTAAAAGATTATACGATACATTAAAAAATAAAACATAATTTTTCGCGAGGGGGAGAAGAAGTTCTTCTCTGACTTTGTAGCGCTGTTCTTATTCTCACATACATAGCGATCTATTTCTTTATTTCCTTTTAAAAAGCATCAGAAAATTGTACAAACTTGCATTGCGCACTAGCTATCTATTAAACTCATCTCATCATTGTTCCTTTTAGCGATTTTGCGGCAACATATTGTATTCCTGCTGAACTTATACCACAGTCTCTTCCATTCCATTCCTTCCATTAAGTTGAAGGCAAAATTATCACGATTTGTCAATAAAAACCATGTGAACCCGGAATATGACAAAAAGAACTCATACGGGAAAATGGCGGCGTTGCTTGACTGAAGGACTATTATGAGCATTGTAGTCTAAAAGAATGTTTATGTGCATCTTTGCCGCAGTTTGACCCATTCTGAACATTTGGCAACTTCTACTAAGGTGGTTGCCATAACACGCCTATATATATTTTTCCTAATAGTTACCAGTCTATTTATAGCTTAAAAAATTTAGGAGAGCGGAGAGAATAAGACTCAATATTTCGCGATGAAAATGGGGCTGAGTCATAAAGGTTCGAAGAATTGTCGATAAAAATATGAACGTGTTAATAGGTAAACCAAAATATCGAAAAAAATTATGTTTCTTAAATGCATAATTAAATCAACTATAATTTATGTAAGTTAATTGGGGAAAATTTAGCACTTAATCAAATGGAAATAATCATATTTCTCACACTACTAAATGGTTAAAAAGAAAATAATAGGAAGAACCAACCTTTCATCGTAGCGGCCATCATGAATTGATTTCAGAACTGACGTGTCTCTTCAAATAGTAGTTGAATATCGGGATGAGAATGAACCTGGAATGCACCACCTGCTACAGTTCTGATTACTGATACAGTAGAATATTCAAACACGTCATCATAAGAAAAACGTAAGGAAAGCTATTTTGTGATAAGCAGCAAATATCTGCTATTGAAGATTACAGTGATTTATTCTCTAAAGTAAAGTTTTCTTAAGTTCAGCAGATAATCTGAAACCAACGGACACATTAAGAAGCCGGCAATCACTCTTCTGCCAAAGTTAATCACTCTTCTGCCAATTTTATATACAAGAACACTTTATTTTATATACATACACTTAATTTTATATACAAGAACACTTCTGCCAATTTTATATACAAGAGCTACAGCTAAAATTGCTCTTCTGTTACATATCTTAATTCCAGTTTGCACCATTTATCTTGCAAAATTGAAGTTGTAGTAAATTCTTTTTAACTAATACAAATCATAGCGCAGAACCTCATTTATCAAAAATAGTCGAGGCCGAATCTTTCGGGGTAACAGTTTTTTCTGCTGATTAAGGAAATGTGGTATTCCATATATCTGTTTAAAGTACAAATAAATATGTGTAACATTTCTAAGAAGAAGTAAATATCTCACATGTTCGCATTCATTCCTATAGTCGGTTTCGTTTGGGTTTGATCACTCAAGCAAAGCAATCGAGGCCTGCTCGCCTAAGAGAAGGGATACATCCGTGGAGGACTTTCTAAGGAAAACTGGCTCGTATATACGTTACATATGGGGAAAACCACAAAAACGGCCGTGCAGGCAGCTATTCACCGGAATTTGAACCCCAGAACGAACTACCAGTATTCAGCGACTTTACCGCACAGCCTAGGCCTCGCATAGCCGAAGAAGTGCCTCGTGTACCCTCCGCCTCTATTAAATAAGATTTATCTAATATTAAAGCTAAAATATTAATTAACCAATAGAAGTAAAGTAGAACTGCAACTCCACTGACATCATATCATAATTTATGAAATTCTTTTCAGCTTTCCTATCCTGTCAACATGTAGCTTGCCTCTTCACTTTTCTACTTCAAATATATTGTGATAAAAATGTGAAAAACCAAATGCTGTTGCTGAGATGGCAGAAATTTTTCAACTAAAATAATAGAAGAAAAATGAAAAGTTGCAAAAAGGAGCACATGATGTCAGAGATCATGTAACTTTTTGACGTCATAGTAGCATATTTTCATACATTCTCTGATTTTATAATAACAAATTCACTCTCTGTTGGTTACCTATGTTACGGACTGTAATTCGCTTCTCACTTGTTTTAATTACGTATCATAGTTTCGATTAAAATTTTAAAACTTTATTGCTAATTCCCCATTCTTTAAATATCCATTTCGTTTCTAGTAAACTCTAAGTTCATTTAGGTTTTAATTTAAAATTAACGTGCTGATATCATTTTTAAAGTGATTCTTGACGATTAGATTGTGACGTTTAGACGTGCTTTAATACCAATTTTTTTTTTTGACTTGCCAGTTAATTTTTTTAATATATTTTTGCCTTTATTTTAATTGGTAATGCTTTTCAGTGAGTTTTCCGTTCTGCTTGGTACTCTTTATGAGATTTTGATTGCTACTGAAAGCCTTATTCTTTCAGTGTTTAACTTCTTTGTGTTGTTATTTAAAAACCTGACGCTGCTTTGATTTTTAAAGTATTTCGATTGCTTATTCGTACCCATGTTATAACCAGAAGATTGAATCTCATTTCTTTCCATGTTTGCCTGAGTACCCAATATATGGTGCGCAGGCTACAAATCTATTTGTCCTGACCATAGAATTGAGGGGGGGGGAATTACATAAAAAATCCGTACAGTAATAAAATCATTAGTATTAGTATTAAGATGTATTTCGACAGAATTCGCTTATCTATCAACAATACGGTACAATTTTTGCTTAATGAGTTCAGAGAAGAATTTTTAAATGGCTCTTTACACAAAAGGCAAACAACTCTTGTACACATTGTTTTTTACATTTTTATTGTTCCTTTTCGCAGTTATATATATCATCTTTATATATTTATATATAAGAACATATATATATATAAGATAACAGAAGGGGTTTACACAATTTTAAAACGATTTAGATACATAAATTTAACAAAAGTAAATGTTTGGAATGATAATTTCTGTTAACAGTATCTTAACTGAAAGGAGAAATACCGTTTCTTAAATTTATTCTTCTTTCAAAATACCGCATATCAACAAGCTGTGGGTTGAAGGATATCATAGAATATATGCCGAAGAGAAATATTCCTGTCTACAATCCAAAAATGTGGTTAATGCGTGGCATTAAAATTTCGAAGTGCAAAATTAACAAGATTATTAATCGGAAAGGGGAAAACAGTCAATCATAACTTCAACATGTAAAAAAGACTCCAAATGAAAACTCGGAAAAGGTATGCTATGGTTCTAATGTTTCTAAAATTAAATCGTTGGTACGGAGAAAAGACTCCGCGATGCAGAAATCATTTGCAAAGTTAGAAGTAGTTAAGAAAAAAGGTTATCAGATCGAACATTTAAAAAATACTCTTTACGTTTTAAAAATGGTATAAACGGCTTGGAAATCGTTCTAAAAATGTGTTAAGCATCCTGTCTGTATTATCTTCATAAAAGCTGTCATTTACAATTATTATTGGATTTTTTTCTACGAAATTTTAACAAGAGTGAAAAAGTGATTTCTTGGAATTTTTATAGATACAATAAGGTAGTTGCTCCTGTTATAAACAGACATTCATGAATTAACTTCTAGCGTTTTAATTATGTTTTGCTTAGTTAGTATACATCAGTTACAAAAATATTTCGTCTGTTGTTACTACCAATATCACTTATAAATGGTCAGCATAAGCCCATAACATTCATCGTAACAAGGAGTCAAACACGCCTGTCATTGGCAAGAATCTTGAACGCAATATAGGTGACAGCCTGACTTCAGCTCAGTTCTACGCCCAATTTTGAGAGAAACACCCCCGGAAGGACTGCTCTGAGGGTCCATGCTTTCCCTATCACTACTTTCTATAGAGAAATTTCGGCTCACCGCCTATTTAGAGAAGCCCAATGCCGCACAGACACTATACATTTACACACATCTATGCCTTCTTCGGGATTCGAATCCGGGCCTTCTGTACGGTAATCAGAATGACTCATTACTGTCCCGGTTGGGAGCCTTATTCATTTTAAAGCTAATAAAATAGAATTTAAAATAAAATATAGATCAAACACAGTAAATACTGTCTAAGGCAAATACACAAGATTCCGGATAATTTTTATATTTTGTAAAGGTAATCATGTTAAAATAGGTAATTTATATTCTTATAAATACAAGCTGTATCTAGAAATGATTGCTTCGAAAGGATTTACTGCAATCGTACTGTGAATATAACTTATTAAGTGTCATAGAAAATTAATTTTTTCACATTGAATTATTGCCCTATGTTTGATCTGCGTCAATTCCGATAAACGTTTTCTTCATTTTAAAAGAAATCGTCTAGTACTTGAATTAAAATAAATTACATACAGGGCATATTGCCGTAACATAGTTTATTAATCTACCGTTGCTTAGAAGGAAAACAATCATATAAAAATGTGCATTTTTTATTTTATAGTTATTTAATAAGATTGAATTTAATAGCTCTTAATCATCGTGTTCATTATTTTTTCTTTCTGTAAATATCTGATCTATAAATAAGCATAGGTGATGAGGGTACAAAGTCAACGCAGCAGATCTCTTTTTATTCCAATGACATACTTATTGGAATTATGGACTCTAAGAGTCCCAAATACATTCTATTTCGAAATTTGATTTTGGTCGAAGTGACTCTTGAAAATAACTTTCAGCACCTGCATCGCTTATTGCAAACTGTAACGTTTTAAAGCAAATGCTGATACATTTTTTAACACAGGACTGCTAAGAACATCTTTAATTTTTAAACAAAAATTGACTCCAATAATACCATGATTTGGAATTCCAGAAAGAAAAATATCATTCCAGCTAATGTTGATTAAAGTTGCTTCTACTTATTTTCAATTACATCTGACCTAGACTGATTTGAAAATTTCAAAGAATGATCAGAAAAGAGAGAAAGAGTTTTGACTAAGGGGCTTTGTGGGTGAAAAGTTTTCATTGTTTATTTTAATGGTCTGTTTTTTTTTTTTTTTTTTTTTTTTGTGGGGGAGGAGGTTGCGCTTACAAAGTTCCTTACATATATTTTTAAGAGTTTCTGACATCCTTTGGTATTAATATTCTGAGATTCCTTTGACGTTTTTTAGCTTTATTTTCCATACGAGATAAAAAATAATAACCAAAGTCAAAATTTTCTCTTGTGAATAATTATACGCACAGGTTATGTAAACTACTTAATTTATATGTTCATGATATTTGGTTGGTCCGTATGCTCTGGCTTTTTTTAAGGTTTCTACAAAAATAAACAAGAAATATACAACAAATCAATCAATAATCTATTCTACTTTGGTTATTAAACTTCTTCTCAGCGTTCAACTAGCTGTTCAATGCCTCGACGGTAGAAATTACCGTTTTTGCATCCCCATCCTTTAAAAGCTTAAACCAATTTTGAGCTGTCCTAAGAGGCATCATATATTCGTCACCCACTTCACAAATCTCTTCGAGCAGCTTCTCGACTTGAAACTTCATTTTTAAATGACATGGAAAGAAAAAAAGTAGATCAGCATAAAAAACTAAACACGCTGTTTTGTAGAGCATATAATTTTCTATCGAATAACATAAAACACACTGCTAGATATTTATTTTTCACGCAAAATTTTCACTTAAAAAAAAATACGCCAGGACTTATGGGCCAACCAAATAAATTATCCTTCTAAGCATAGAAAGTGTAAAATTTTCAAGTTGTTTATTACAGTGATTATCACGGTCGCTTTGAAAAAGTAATTTGATTCTTTCAAAGTCTGATGAAATGGGCTCTACGAAAGCGAGGCCTTTCTTGGATCTATCTGCACATATTTTGTGGAGTTTCTCTGTGTAAATGTTGATGTCACATGTTGATGAAACTGAAAATGAAATTTTAAAGAATTCCATTAATTAAGAC